GAAATCATGTCTTTATCTTTGGTTCTTACTCATACATGTAAATTTTTAGGATGATAAAATACAGTTAGATCCTATAGCACTAAAGTCAGTAGTTCTACACTGATCTGTTGTGGACAGGGTGAAACATTAAGTCGAATTGATTCTGCCACTTGAGCCAGAAAACGCCAAACTAACACAATAACTGTACTCTAAGGAACTTTCATTATTGTTATTCCAATACTTGGTGAGACTACCAAAAATATTTTAAAGAATCGTTATAAGGTACATGCTCATTGTGATTAATTTGTTTTCTGAATGTAGCTCAAAATCACCTAACCTTTTTATGTATTTAACTGGACTCCAGGAATTCCATGTAACTCAGTAATGATTACTCTTGCTTCATTCATAAGTGGTTGGGGATCAGGTATTCTATTTGTATAGGAATCAGATTAAGCAGGTCTATGTGCTTTGAAGCATACTTACTAGAAATATTGCTCTGTTGAACAACTTAGGTTTTTCAGCAGAAATGCCATCAGTAAATGAAGGTGGATTTGCTTCTCTGAAATAAGATGGCCGTCTTCCTTTTGGAAGGAATGGTCAACAGCTGTAGTCTCACTCAGATAAAAATGTATTTAAGGGTTTGGGAATTGTCATCTGGGCTTGATGGAAAACTTTTTTTTTAATGCTCTTCTTTTTTTAGTGATGAATGCGATTTCAGGAAATTGACTTCAGAATCATTTTACGCAACATCGGCAGAAGCAGCAGCAGAAAATGTGTTGCTATGTGGTTTGCTTTTTAAATCAGGAAAAGGAGGGTCGATCTGCAGCCAAAACAAGAGCCATTAACAGTTGTTTCATCTTTTTATGATATGCAAAAATCCGTATTTTCTTCTCTAGATCTAGGGAATTGCACATGCAAATTTTGTATTGACACCAATCATGCAAAACTGACTCTTGAAAACCTGCTCCTGTGCCTTCATTATTGCACATTGGGACCAATGTTATCTGTGACTAAAGTCCGGATTGTATATGCAGTAGCTTGACTACCTGAAAGCAGTAGTAGTCTAGAATATAGGAATCTGAAATGGGCAGTCATGACATCCAAATATTTTTAAACTGTTCTTGCTTGCACTACTGCCACTGCTACTCTTGAGCAGCAAACCCCACAGACTAATTTCTGATTATCCTAAGGATTATCCTAATGTGAACTTTTTTTCTTGATTTTTTTTTTTCGGAACTTAAGAGGAAAACGATAAAAATACTTTGCATACATATAAATTACAAATATATAATTGAATAAAGCATTTTAATCCTTTCAATAACATACATGCAAGAGCCATTTTATTGCTTGTATTTCTTTATTAAATCTACTTAAGAAGGAAGAAAGATATTCCTGATTGCACGAAATTTCAGATTAACATCCCTTTGTTAGCAGTTTCTTCTGTGACTTCAGCTATCCTCTTTACCTTGTTTCATTTCTTCACTTGTGAAAGGTAAGGTAGCTCCCCTCTCAGATGTAAATAGGTCACATCTATGTGAAGCAGTTTAAAATGCAAAAGCGCTGCAGAAGCAGGGAGCAGTGTTACTAAATGCAGCATTAAAAGAACTACCTTCTGACACAGGGTTTGTGTGCTTCAGTTTTGGCAGTATCTTTAAAAGAAATAGTTGGTAGCCTGAAAAGCCTTGATTTGTTCTTGCATATTTGAGTTAACAGTTTGTATCGAAGTAGTTATGCCTGCTGCCCTTCCTAGGTTCTAGGAACTGGATCAAAGGCTGATGTAAGTCTGCACACCACATTTATTTTGATTTATTTGGGGAAACATAGCTCCTCTGTATGCTTTAAATTGCTGTGCTAAGGGACGTAATCCTCCCCTCTTTCAAAAACGAAATTTCTGTATAATGACAGTAGATTTGGGAGGGCTCCAGAGCTGACACGGTTATCGGCCATAAACCGTAGTGCCCGCAGCTTGCGTCTCTTTTGTCAGCCTCTGGTTAGGGTTTAGTGCTCACTTTGAAGAACACTCCTCTGTGACTTAAAAATTGGTTGTGCACATTTCCATGGGCTTCCCACAACTAGTAAGTGGTGGCAGTGGGATCATAATTTGAATGCTGTAATTACTATAAATACTATAATACATATTTTGAATACAGTAATAACTTGAATACCTAAATAATTTTTCATGTTACCCTTTTTTCCTATCTGTGCCAAATACTTCTCTTCTGCTTCATACTAACTTTCAGTTATTGCTGGCTGGGAAATTGCTTCTAATCCTTAAAAGGTTCGAAATGCAAAGAAAATATATCCCAAAAGAGGGTAAAAGTTGTAGCAAATCTTTTTCACAAAGAAAAAGGTAAAAACTACCCCAGTGTTCTGTTTCCATTCAAAATTTCATTAACTTAATTCAATTAATGAATTTTTATTTTTTTAAAAGAAGCGTTAACTGCAAACTGTTAGGGGAAAGTCATTCTAAAGTGAAAAGCAAATTTTTGGGCACATTTTAATGTGTCCAAATAGACTATCTGAGGACTGCCACACTCAAAGGGCCAAAATATTTCCAAACGAGAGCATTTATTGAGGTTTACTCTTCTCTCATCCTTTCTCTTCCCTGGGAGGAAAAGAAAAATAAAAAAAAAAAAGGCTTTTTCTAGGAGAAAGCATTTTCACAAAGTAATTCTCTTCTCACAGTTTTACCGCCATTCTCTTCTCACAGTTATACCTTCCTAGAGCGAGTTTGCCTATGATACAACTAGGTGGTTTTGATACATATTTTTCTCCGAGATGCGATCTAAGGGACAAGAACTGTAAATACTTGAAGTAAAATTACTTTGCAAAATAACAGAAAATAACCTGCAGTTAGTTTTCTTTTTTTTTTTTTTTGCGCCCAGCCGCAGCAGGTACAATAAACGCGGTTAGTGTCTTTAACGGCACTAGCATCTTCATTACCTAATACGACGTTGCAATTATATATATATATAGTGTGTGTGTGTGTGTGTATATATATATATATAGTGTTATATCGGTATTAAACAGCTAAATATATATTTATTCAAGCTATTTCCAGTGCAGCGGAGCGCGGCGCGCAGATCCCCGTCAGGGTGGGTAAGATGGCGGGCGGCGCCGAGGGGCGGGAACGCGGCCGCTCCTCGTCTCGTCGCCGTGACGCGGCGCGAGGCGACACGGGCT